TGCTCAAACACCTGGTATATGCTCAAACACCTGGTATATGCTCAAACTCCTGGCATATGCTCAAACTCCTGGCATATGCTCAAACTCCTGGTATATGCTCAAACACCTGGTATATGCTCAAACACCTGGTATACTCTCAAGCTTTACTTACTTTACATTCTCTTTAAGAGACTTTCAACAACTGCTGTTCATGGCAAAAACCAACACAGACATGTTCCTGGTTTTAGTATTTTACATTGCTTTATACTTATTATAGCTGTTTTTTGTTTTGTTTCGTATATAATTTCTTCTATTTACTTTTCATTTTATATACTTTTTTATGATTGCCCATTGTTGTCTGCACCTCATCTGTGATTTTTGTTAAAATCAGGTCTCTCTTGTAAATGAGTCCTCGAGGCTCAATGCGACTAACCTGTGTAAAGAAACGTTGAACAAAAATTTGCCCATCCTGCTGAGGTTTGATGACTTTGCAGAAATTCAAGCATGTTTGTTGTGTTTACATACAGGCATACTAACACCTATAAATCATAAAGTTGCTGCTTAGGAAAGCAGCAGCATGAGGAGCAGTCAGGTGCTTTCCAGCATGCAGAGTCATGCTCGAGTCGCTACACTCACTAATGTGCTCTTATTTAGCCATCAATCCTCTTTAGCTGATGTCAGCTTGTTTTTGCACAGCTCAATTGTCATACATAGGCAATGAGAGATCGTCATTCATCTCATGTCATGATTCATTGGTAAAATTGGTGAATGGTTGATAGAAATCTAGAAGGATTTGACTCAATTATTCTATTGGAATCTCTCAACAACTTCTGAAAAGCCCTATGTACAAAAAAAATAACATTTGCTGAAGCTGTTTACTGTGTCCACAAAAATCTCCATGTCTTAAATGTTGTTTTGTAATTAAATTAGGGTAACTTATTATGCAACAAACTTATGGTTGTTTTATTATTCACTGACATTTAAAGGTGCACACAAAATGTGACTGTCGTTGAAAAGTGCTTTAAACCAAATTATATAGTCTGGCCCTGCCAAAGACCAGGTTAGTCTAAAATAATAGAAATGTAAAAACATTTTGAGAATCTAATTTATCTTCGTTCCATTCACTTATGCTTTTGTATAGTATTGATTGTGAAGTGCTACCCTGGCAGGATTTCCATGCATACTGAAACACTCTGATTGCTGCAGATTCCTCCTGTCGTCGGTCTGTAATGTTGCCCTTGCAGCTTTCTGTCTCTTCCTTTCAGTACTGCTCTTTTGTTTCCACCTGCACGTATTGCGAGCAAACTATTCTCATCATTCACTCTGCTGGATGCTGTCGGGCTCCCCTGTCTGATTCCTGCCCTTTAAGTTCTGCCACGCTGAGTCTTTACATTCTTTTCCATCTCCTCCACTTGTTGTATATTCAATTTATTTTGCCTGCCAACACTACAGATGACATTGACAACAAGCTCTTTGTGTGTGTGTTTTGTTCTTTCCGTCTCCAGACTTAAACTTTCACTACTTTTGGAAGTGGAGTGCATTTGAGGACTACCTCCTGTTCTGTTTTGGCTTCACCGTGCTGTGTGCTGTGGTCACCCTGCTGCTGCTGGACTCCACCGTGTTTGTGGAGATGCTGGGCTCAATGGCCGTGATGTTTGAGGCAATGCTCGGCGTCCCACAGCTGCTGCAAAATTTCCAGAACTGCTCCACTAAAGGAATGAGGTATGACTCATAGTGATACTGGACCAGGATCAGTATAAAGCTCACAGGTCAGTCAGGTACACAGAGACATGCAGTCACATGCTCTGAATGCTCACTGACGTCATATGGCAAAGACCACAAACAGGAAGAAACCAACAATGAGTTATTGACTGAGTTACTTAACAGTTAACTTATTTATCTCTGAATAAATTCCCTGGGATACCTATTGCAATAGTGTCAAATTTAAGAACAAGTTGACTAAAGAGATGAGCAGAGAGTGAAGCAGAGGAATGTTTCTCCCGTTACAGCTAAATTGGAATGTGTAAAGGTCAGTGTCTAAACAAATTACGCTCCATGAGATCAATTACACCCAGAATGATACAGAATCTGATGCTAATTACCTTCATCATTCCCTCATGTTCCTCATTTACTGTCAACAAATCTGCATTCATATTGTTTGTGTGTTTGTGTAAAAGGTTTCATGCTCTGGTTGTCATACATCTGTGAGATAAGCCAGACGAAATCAAAGAAATGCCACATATTACATTTATTTTGTGTATAATTTTTTTTTTTTTTGAGTATTGTTTTATAAAGAGATCCAGTGTTTGTTTTACTTTTTGCAACTTTATCAAATTATTTTGCATAAAATATGCTGGAGAACAATTTCAATATCGTGTAGGAAGATAGACACGGCTCTATCAAAAGAAGCACTAACAGTCCAGTCAGACCAGCTGTATTGTGAGACTGCATCTCCTAAATGATAACAAGCTCATCAAGTCAGGTAATATTTAAAATCTGGGATGATTGCTAGGGATGTCCCAATACCTTTTTTTCAGACAGAGTAAAGGTACAAGTACTTCAGTTCATGTACTTGCCGAGATCGAGTAGCTATATCTTGTAGTTAATGAATTAGTACTTAAACATTTTGCAATGACTTTAAAAACAAGTCTTTGATTAAAAACATAGTAAACATCTTAACATCACCTGTTTCTGTAAAAATATTCCCAAATTATGGACTTTTTTTTTTGCCCCCGTTACATGTGAAATGGAAAAGGAATTTATGTTACAAAGCATCAAAGTGATATCAGTTTGAAGTATCGGATTGTTTTTACAAGTACAAATATGTATTTGAGCCTGGCATCAATTACCATTGTCATTATAGTTATCATCCCAGCGTGTTCATACCTGTGATTTGGTATTGTTTAGAGGTCAAATGTTGGAAAATGTAATCAGATATACTTGACTCCTCTTTCCCTTCAACTTAAATCCTTCGTTAGTTTTGTACCATTTCATCATGCTCCAATACATTAATAGGTTTTTTTTGTTTTCTTAATTGTTTAGAACAGTTAGAAATAGTGTTCATTCTGTGCTGTCTCCTGTAAGTCACCAGGCTGTTTTCACAGCTTTGTTTTACACAGTGACAGATGTCACTAGCTATGTACATTCTCCCCACACTGCAGTCTTCGCTGCATATCCCCAAGTCATCTTTGGGTCACCCTTCATGTTTCCTCTGAATTCAATTCCTGCACACATTTTTCACACTAGAAATATATGAAGCAATAATGTAGTTATGGCTTACTGCTCATTCTCAGTTTTACAGCACATTTAGCTTGTCCTCAGGGTGAGCATCTGGTCTCCCACTTCTGATCAGTGCCAGTTGAGCTGAGAGTTAATATCACAGCAAGATTAAATAGGCAATAACCCAGCGTCAGGGCTTCCACATGACTGATAATTAGGTTTGGACCGTCCGTTTTTGAAAATCTACTTGTATTGCTTCTATCAATAGACAAACAAACTTAAAAAATAACAGGAGTCTTCTTTGTGCTCCAACAACTTCCATCCATCCATTGTCTTATTTGCTTTTTACTTTCCGTGTCGCAAAGGTCACTGGTGCCCATGTCCACATCTCACTGTGCAAGAGTTGGGGGACACCCTGGACAGGTCTCCAGTCCATCACAGGGCCACATGGAGACAAATGAGACAACCATTCACTCTCACTCACACCTAGACACAATTTAGAGTTACCAATCAGTCTAACATGCATGTTTTTAGTCTGTGGGAGGAAACTGGAGTACCTGGAGAAAATCCACGCGTGCACGGAGAGAACAGGCAAACTCCACCCAGAAAGGCCCCTGGCTGGGATTCAATCCAGCACCCTTCTTGCTGATAGGCAACAACTCTACCAACTGATCCATCGTGCTGCCTCGAAAAGCTTGTATATGTTTATTATAAAATACATTTAGTTTTATGCTGCATAATGTCTTCTGGATAAAATTGGATTTTAGCTGTAAAGTTTTCAGCTCTGCTGGTATAAAACTTCCCTCTCAGGACAATTTTAGATGTTTTACAATGATCCCAATTATTAAATGGAATGTTGAAGTGGCTCAGTTGTGTCTGAAGGGTTTGTTTTTCAGATGTGACATTAAAGCACGTTTTCTGTTCTTCTTGTATCATTCCATGTGACACTGGGGGTTTTGGTGCTCAGTCAGTTTCATCTTCAATTTATTTTTTTAAATAAGGGGGTCAAATAGTGCTTACTTTGTTTAGGTAACCTGTGTTGTGTATGAAAGAAAAGAAAAGACAGAACATAACATTCAGTTAAACTACATTATTTCTTCACTTCTGACACTTGTTTGCATTCGCACTCACATTGGCACTCCAGGGCAATCACAGGCAAGGTATGAAGTTTATTAAAAAGATACAGCAAAAAAGGAGAGGATTGATTGAAGTGTGTAGTACCTGACTAACAGGGTGAGAATGTACAGGTCTACATAAGGCAAGACACATTAGTGGAATTATATGGATTCATTTATAAATAGTTTTGTGTTATTGTGAGACCGACTTACAATATTAGACAAACACATCTGTCTGTCCATCTGTCCATTTTCTGATGCTCATCCTTGGTCTGGTCATGGAGGCACCTGTTCCAGGTGGGAAACCCAGATAGTCCTCTACCTAGCAACAATCCCCAGATTCTCCTGTGGTATCCCAAGGCATTCTAAGACCAGAGAAGATGCATACTTCCTCCAGGAAGTAGTCCGCCCCAGGATCTCTTTCCAGTAGGACTTGCTTGTTAAACTTCCAGATGGAGGTACCCAGGAGGCATCCTAATCAGATGCCAGAATCGTCTAAGCTGACTCCTTTTGATGTGGAGAAGGAACGGCTTAACTCCAAGCTCCCCACAGATAAAGGACCTCCTCACCCTGTCACTAAAACTCAGCCTGGCAACTCTACGAGAGAAAGCTCAATTCTCTGGCTTCTGACTGGAGTTTTGTTCTTTCGGTCATGATCTACTTCTCATGACCAAATGTGAGAGTTGGAACTTAGGTGAACCAGTAAACGAAGAGCTTTGCCTTCCAACTGAGCTTCTTTATCAGCACAGCAGACCAGAGAAATGTCGTCATTACTGTGGATCAGGCCCTGAACAGATGATCAATCTGTGTCTCCATCACTTGTGAACAAGACTTGAAAATACTTGAACTTTACTGCTTGAGGCAGAAACTCATCCCAAAACACAGTCTATCATAAATAACAAATAACTATTCTTATCCTTCTGCATGCATCATTTAAACATTTACTGTGGAGTTTTTTTTACAACTGAGGACATCAGGAAATGTAATTAAACTCAGGAGGTAGAACTGAATATGGTTTACTACCACTTTGATTTAAAATGCATTAAAAAAAATCATTTAAAATTGGCCATTGACAAGAGGCAGTTTTTAAAGATATATGTAATCAATAATTATTAATTTGCATAAAGTGATCTATAGCAGATTAGATGTTTATTTAACAGCCAGATTTCCAGCCCCTTTTACTCATTTACTTAATGCATATTGTTTTTAGATTAGGTATTTTTGACAGTTCACAAAGTTGTGAAAGTGATTTAGATAATCTTAATTTTAAACAAAATAAGTATCAGTAAATGGGATTTGGTGTTTAGTATTTCTTTATTTTAAACATCAAAACATAGCAGGGTTTATTTGCAGTGGATTGTGTGAATCATGTGGGTGGAAACGGTTTTTATTATTGCATAATGAAGCTGATTGCATATTTATTTTGGTTTTAACTATAATCTCATTATAATTTCTGTTCATTCAGCATTCATTGCACACAGACTTTATTAGGTTTATGTCGGTGCTTTGGCCCTCTTTGCATCTGAGAACCCTCATTGCTCGGGTGGAAACTATATTTGAACGGTTAAGTTGCAATTTGTTTATATAAATAATGTGTTTGTGAGTGATTGCTCATTGCTCTTTTTATCTCCCTGGGGGTTCCTCTTGTTTTTCTTTCCCCTCTTATTAGAGCATATCCATTTTGCTTCCAGTGCACTTCTCTTCTTCCTGCTCTGCAGCAACATTGCACAAAGTCATGAGTGACAGCTGAGAGGACATTGGCAATGAATGTCCATCTGTCTCACTGACAGAACTGTAATGTATGCAAACAATTAAAGACCCTCTTACCCTTTCTACCCTTTTTATCGTCTTTTTAAGCTCAGTTTAAAAGTCTTCGTCACAAATACCACAACTGTAAAGTAATATTTAGTGTAATTGTAGGTCCTATCCATGCTCACTTCTTATTCCCTTCCTTGCTCCCTGTTTTCCTGACACCTTCACAGTTAGCAGGTCATTCCTTGTTTTCAGGTCAGGGTAACACCCCTCAAGCTGTAATGGTGGCCCCATTACTGTGTCCCTTTGATAGCACTTTAATGGTGGTTTCAAGTTTTTCTTGAGGCAGCCATTACGTGTAGGCCATTTCAGCCAGTTCCTTTACCTTTGCAGTCCTGTCCATGGGGACATGATGCAGACACGGTGGTGACCTCGAAGCAATTTGTGACCCGTGGAGCAGAGCTGTATCCCAGAGGAGTCCACACAGTGCAAGGATGGCAGTAGTTACACATACTGTTACTACGCTGTGATTAAAAACTTAACAGGAAAAGGTGTTCAAAGTCTCAGATGTTTGTGAATGTTTTTTTGAATTCCAATGTTTTATTAGATCGTATGCATGGCTGGCGACTTTCCACT